GGACACGCTCATTTAAAGCAGAAAGCCCCACCCCCTAGGCCCCACCTCCAGGCCATGTGGTAAGGCTCTTATCAAAAGGACTCGAGGTGGCTTATATTATTAAAAGATAACATGTGAAGCTAAAAACAATGAGTATATGAATGCTAAAAAAGATCAAGCAAATACTACTTGGAGAAATGGTAAACACAAGCAGTATGAAAAAAGACTTTCAATGCAATGAGGAATAACAGTCTCCTTGAAAAATCCCACTCAGGCAGCCAGTAGTCAGTGAGAGATAGCTCACCTGAGGAGAAAGGTCTTTCATCTGCTTACAGAAGGGCAGCCAAGATGGGGCCAGCCTGGCCTCCAGTGGGAGGGAGTTCCACCGTCTCTGGGAGCGGCGACAGAGAAGAGGCCCCACCAGGCACACCTCTGAAGGTGGAGAGACTGAGAGAAAGGCCTCATGATGAACCTAACCCTCGAGCAGGCTCATAAAGCGAGAGACAGACCTTGAGAGATGTCGCTTGGATCTCTGCCATTTAGAGCTTTCTAGGTTAGAACCCACACTTTGAATTCAGCCTGGAAATAGATCGGCAGCCCGTGGGAGCGGCTGTCACAGGGAGTGTTATGGAATCCCTGTGGCCAGCCCCAGTTGGCCATCTGGCGGCCGCATTTTTAATCCCCTGAAGTTTTCTGACACTTTCCAGAGGCCAGCACCGCATGGAGGGTCTTGCAGCAATCCAGCCGAGAGGTGACCAAGGCATGTTGCACCGTGGCCAGATCAGACCTTTCCAGGAATGGGTGCAGCTGGCGCACTAGTTTTAGTTGTGCACAGGAACTCCTGGCCACCATCGAAACCTGGGCATCCAGGCTCAGAGAGGAACCCGGGAATGCCCCCAAGCTGTGGACTTGACTTTTCAGGGGGAGTGTAACCCCATCCAGCACCGGTAGTATCCCTGTTCCCTCATCTGCCTTCCGACCGACCAGGAGCACCTCTGCCTTGCCTGGATTAAGTTCCACTTTATTCACCCTCATCTCGTCCGTTTCTGATATCGGACACTCACCTAGAGCCGAAACGGCTTCCTCAGCCTTAGTAGATGACAGGGAGAGGTGCCTCTGTTACCATCATCTAACTTGGTCTCTTTTATTATCTTGCTGCTTTGCTTTGCTTTTGGAGGTTTTTTAGGTTGCAAATTATTATATCGTTTTTAAACATAACTGCGCACTGCTTTGGTGTCTATATGGATGAGGAGAAAATTTTAAGAGAGTTAGAGAGTTTGCTGTCCTCTGAAGATGCCAGCCACAGAGACTGGCGAAACGTTAGGAAAAACCACCTTCAGAACACGGCCAAAGAGCCCGAAAAACCCACAACAACCAGTTATAGATTTCTTTATATATATCTGTTATCGCTCATCTTGTAGCCAGATGGGCAGTGGAAAAATTCAATGAATGAATGGATGAACGAACGAATAGCCAAATATATGGTCTGCCTGTGATAGCAAGATTGAAGACTACGTGCCTCTAGGCTGAAAGTACACTAGTTTTCGCCACGCTCTTAGCTGTTGGTTGAGTGGACATCATGCTACGGAATGATCACCAACAGTTCAACTGGTGCCAGGTAGGGATGGCTGCAGCCACAGAATGTTAACAAATCCGTGCAGCTATTCCTGGTAAAAACCCCAACATTTCTCTGGGTGGCAAACGTCATGTGAGATACCACCACAGCTGCATAATGCTAGGGAGGCTGGTCAGAAATAAGAGATAAGAAGGAAGAAAAGTGGCGTCACACTATTGAGGGAAACACATGCAGGCAACGGACAGCAGTTGAAATTAATGGTCCCCATTCCACAGAGTCAGCCCAGTCTTTGACTTCCAAAGGCTCCGGCCTCTTGCATTGACCCCGAGCGCTTCGGGCTTCCCAGTGACATTCAACAGATCGATCAGCAAGCTGGATTGCATTTATTGATCTGTAATTAGTCAGGGAAATTAGAAAGTGGCTCGGTGAAAAACAGCTGAAGAGGCACAGGAAATGAATGTGTCCTTTCCGAGGCCAACGCTCTGCATCACATAGCTGGGGTGGTGGTGGAGATTTAATTAGATGCCCAGCGGGTCCCACCACTTCCCCACAACCCCTCCCAGGAGGCATACATGAAAAGCACCGTCAGATTTCACTCAAATGCATGGAGATCAGCTGAGATCAGAGCTTGGCCAGGGGGGGGGAGGCTTCAGCTTGTGATTTTTTTGGACAACAAGTCCAATAACAACATGACTCGCCTGGGGAATTCTGGGAAAATGGACTTTTTTTTGGACCACAAGTCCAATAACAACATGACTCACCTGGGGAATTCTGGGAAAATGGACTTTTTTAAAAAAGTTAAAGAAACTCAGCTCCACCTGGTCCATTTTGAGTCTCTAAAGGAACAGAAATCTTGCAAACGTCCCTAGTTATTTTAGGACTTTAACCTTTTCTCCCGATTATGGCACCTGGAAAAACGTTGCTTTCTCCATTGGCTGCTCTTTAGGAATCTCCTGGACATTTTAAAACTGAATGATATTGTTAAATCACATAGATTTCCCATCTAGTGGGATCTTGCTTTGAGAAACCAAGAATGGAAACCTGCTTAAGACAAGCTTTCCGTTTTCTTGGTGTGATCAGACCTGCAGAATTGGTTCCATTTTTGGACTACGATTCCCAGCATCCCCCAGCTGAGGCCTGGAACATTCTAGGAATGTAGTCACCAAGCGAAGTCCACGCGATGCCAAGGGAGCTTACCTGTGTTGCTTTTGCCTCCAGAATCGCCAGCTTCCAAGCTCTGTAAACAAAACCAGAGTAGGAACACGTGAATACATTCACGCCAGGAAAGAGGGAAGCTTTCAAAGCCCCCCCCCCATTTTCCCTCTCCACCCCACTTTTGCAGAAGGGAAATACACGTACAGTGGTGCCTCGCATAACGAGCGCACCGTTTAACAACGAATCCGCATAGCGATCTATTTTTTTAGATCGCTAATGCGATCGCATTGCGGTGTTTTAATGGGTGGTTTTATTGCGGTTTTTTAAACAGCTGATCGGTGGTTCCAAAATGGCTGCCGGGTGCCCAAAATGGCCGACGGTGCCCAAAATGGCCGACGCAACCATTTTCGTGCAATTTCCTCGCTTACCTCGCTATGGAGGATCTTCGCTGAACGGTGAGTTTGAGCCCCATAGGAACGCATTAAACGAAGTTTAATGCGTTCCTATGGGTTTTTCCGTTCCGTTTAGCGATGTTTTCACGTAGCGACGATTAATCCAGAACGGATTAACGTCGCTAAGTGGGGCACCACTGTATTGCCAACTCTTGGGTTTGGACCGGTATTGGTGACTATGTATTTCCTTTATTTATATTTTCCACTGATGGAGTGGGGCACCACTGTATTGCCAACTCTTGAGTTTGGAGCGGTATTGGTGACTATGTGTTTCCTTTATTTATATTTTCCACTGATGGGTTCATCGCTCCTTTCCAGACTTCCACTCTTGTCTTCCCCACAGCCCTGTGAGGTGGGTCAGGCGGAGAGAGTATGTTCCGGCTCAAGGTCACCCAGTGAATTTAGTGGCTCAGGAGAAATTTGAACCCAGATCTCCTAGTTTCCCTGGCTAACACTTTGACCCCTGAACTACACCAGGTCTTTTTAAAATTTAATTTAATTTTACTTTATTTACAGGCCACCTTTCTCTCTCTGTGCTGCAGGGTCAGAAGACCAGCCGTCGTAAGATTGAATCCACGTGACGGAGGGAGCTCCCGTCACTCATCCCAGCTCCTGCCAGCCTAGCCGTTCGAAAGCATGTAAAAATGCGAGTAGATAAATAGGGACCACCTCAGTGGGAAGGTCACGGCGTTCCAAGTCTAGTCGCGCTGGCCACGTAATCACGGAAATGGTCTTCGGACAAAACGCCGGCTCTACGGCTTGGAGACGGGGATGAGCAGCGCGCCCTAGAGTCGGACACGACTGGACTCAATGTCAAGGGGAACCTTTACCTTTCTCTCCAGAAGGGACTCTTTGTCTTTCAGAATAGCTGCTGGCCCTTGTAAGAGGACTTCCTGGGCAGGCAAATTTGGAAATTTGTGGGCGCTGAGAATGATAACCGCTCACTTCCACCCTTGCTGACCATGAATGAACACATCCAACAATTCTCTAATGGGATTGCTTAAGAGACAGCAAAACCATGCTGGCCGGGGATGGTGGGAATTGTAGTGCCACACATTTGGGGAGCATCGGAATGCGGGTGGGCTGTTCCTGAACTCTTGTAGAAAAGGGGGATCATCACCTATGGAGATCATCCGGAAACCTTGGTGGGTTCAAAGGCGGTGGGTGACCTACCAACGGGGAACAATGAGAGGGACCCCACATTCCAGTGGTCCAGACACAGGGATGTCTGCTCATCCTGATACTATCCAGATGCCACTCACTGTGGATGGGCTCTAGCCTCCATCCTTAGGGTTCAGGGCCTTTAAATCAAGAGGACACCCTCAGATCATCCTCTGGCTGGCCTCTGGATGGATTCCCTCCCTCCCCAGAAGAGAGCCAGCCAGATCCCATTCCAGGTAATCCCCAGCCATGCACAGCCAGCCAGCCAGCCAGGGCTCGCGGGACAATCCCCATAAAGGCCACGTCTACCCAGCGGTCTCCCAGGAGGTGTTCCGCTCACCAGCCAGCCAGGGCTCGCGGGACAATCGCCATAAAGGCCACGTCTGCCCAGCGGTCTCCCAGGAGGTGTTCCGCTCGGGGGGCATCTGCCTGATCTCCCTCCGGAAGGCAAGCAAAGGCTGCCGGCAATTATTTCCCGTTGCCCCCGCCGAGGAGCCTCCACTGACGATTCAAGATGGCTCGAACAGATCTAGTGCCCCTCAGCTCCCGGGACGTCCACCATACCCGGTTAAGCCGGGCTGCTTTGCTCGCTGACAGCGGTGGGTATGGAAGCAAAGTTTCCCCGTGGAATCCTATTTGGAGGATCCCGCTGGAAGCGTGGCAGCGTTGAATGACTTCTCCGATTCTAGGACTGCCTCCGTGGTGCTTAAATGCTCATCACCTGCAAAGGGACCAAAATCTCTTGGTTGAGCATCTTGTCTTGGGGATATTCGGGAAGAATAACGTAGGGCGAGATGCCCTCCTCCTCCTCTCCTCCCGGTTTTGACCCTGGTGGTCTTGTTTCCAGAATGCTTCTCTTGCAGCTGATTGCCTTTTCCTGAAATACCACTAAAACGAGACCCATCTTTTAAAGACCACTTCGTAGCCGTTCCTTCTGTCCCTCCTGAAGGGGTTTTCAGTGGTGAGGAAAAAAATAGGGAAGAAAATAACAGCCTCTTTTCTCTTCTGTTATTTTTTTCCCTTAACCTTTGTGACAAGTACAACACAAGACACCAGCAAATATGCCTTCTGCTTAGTAAACAGGATTTCTTTTTTAAAAAAATCGAATTGCTGATGCAGAGACTTTATCTGGAACTGGCGGCAGCCATTTGAGTGTTAGAAGGCAGGAGGAAGATTGCTGATGAGAAAGACAGAGCCTTCCCACCAGCCTAGAGCATCGTTGCGATGATAACGGTCATTGTAGTCCCTGAGTTCGTCCCCAGCTTAGGGTGCCTCCAACCGACGAGACATCTTGGCAAAGCATTTTAGGCAACACAGAATTCCTCACTTCCGGCATGAGCTTGAGAGGAGCATTCCCCACCCACCACCCACCCTCAGGAAGCTAAGCTCATATGAATCGCACACAGAGAGAAGACTGTGTGATGGATCAAAACGATGCACACAAGGTACCCAAAGGGACTTGTTTTCTAAAGTGTGTTGAGCAAGGCAGTCCTTCATTTCTTGTTATGTGCCATAAAATGGCCTCCGACTCATGATGACTCTATGAGCGAGCAATCTCCAGGATCTTCTCTCTTCCACAACCCGTCTCAGCTCTTGCAAACTCAAGCCAGTGGCTTCCTTTGGTGAGTCAGTCCATCTTGTATTGGGTTTTCCTCTTTTCCTGCTGCTTTCCCCTTTTTCCAGACTGATTCTCTTTTTCCAGAAACAATCCTGTCTTCTCAGGAGGTGCCCAAAGGAGGACAGCCTCGGCTTCAATGTTTTGTTTTTTTTGCCTCTGGAGACCGTTCAGGCTGGATTTGATCTAAGACCCCCTTGTTTGCCTTTCCGGGAGTCCAGGGAATCTGCAAAGCTGTCCTCCAGAACCACATTTCAAACGAATTTTTTTCATTTTCTTGTCAGCTCTCTTTTACCATCCTGCTATCACATCCATACACGGTGACTGGAAATACAAGAATGTGGGCATAAATCTTCAACCACTGTGGTTTTATGCCGTTTGCATTATTCATGCAAAATGTTCCTTGGAGGTGCACCCTTCTAGCTGAGACCAACAGAAAAATATCTTTCCCTTTGGCAGGCGAAGAGAAGATGGTTCTGGATTCTTTTTCTCTCGTGCAAGAATGAGGCCGGTGAAGGTTGGACTCTTCTCCTATGAGTACCTCCAGCATCTCTGCGGGTCCCCGTACGAGAGCTTTACAGCCATTAGAATCTAGAGATCTTAGGAGTCTCCGACAAGGTCACAGGGGTCCTCTATCTCAACACGTTGGCAAAAGAAAAGCGGGCGTGGAGGGGGAGAGGAAATTGTATTTGTAGCACAAGATGGTGTGGATCAAAACTGTTGTGGTGTTTGAGGAAGTACATTTAGATACGCAAAAGATTGCACTGAAACAAAACTTAAGTCTTTAAAGGGCTACAATATTTTTCCTTTTCTCTTTTTTTTATTTCTCTTTTTAACTTTTCTTTTCCAGTTCGTAGGGACAACCTCCTCCTCTTCCTCCCTATGGCCCAGAATGGGGAGGCTCTCTCTTCATCACGAGTCCTCCTTACACATCTCATTCCTCTTTCTCTGTCCCTGAGGAACAGTAATCCGTGGGACCCGAAATAACAGCAAAGCGAGAAAGGCAGACTCGCAATGCAGAACGGAGAGAGGACGGACACTCTCTCCGTTGGCTGGTCCTGGGAACAGACCTTCACACAACCTGCAAGAACTGTGAGGGCTTATTCATGCACGCAAGTCTCTGCATCAGAAGACCATGGGTGGGTGGGAATAGACCCGTCTGTAGATAAGCTCTTGGGTTAATTCAATGTCTGCTTCCCCCAACCATAGGAAATAGTATAGTATAGTGGTTTGTGTGTTTTTGTGTGTGTGTGTGTGTGTGTATGAGAGAGAGAGAGAGAGAGAGAGAGAGAGAGAGAGAGACAGAGAATCAAGTCTCCTTCTAAGCCTGGAAAACCAACATCGTGTCATACAAGCCGACGGAATCTCAGGAAAAACTTCCTAACTGTTAGAGCAGTACGACAATGGAATCCATAATCTCAGAGGGAGGTGGCGAGGGCTCCAACCCTGGAGGTCTTCAAGAGAAAACGTAGACAACCACCTGGCAGATCTGCTTTGACGTAAATTCCTGCAGCGAGCAGGGGGCTGGACTGGATGGCCTTCGAGGCCCCTTCCAACTTCACTATTCCTTGATTCTGTTGGGTCTCTCTTCTTGTCAGGAGGAAAGAGAAGAAAGTTCCAGCTCTCAAAGCTTGTGACACGGCCCTTCCAGCTGGCCAGCCACCCACTGGCAGCTAAAAAGCAGCTGCTCTGTGTGTGTGCAGATTCCAGGCTCAGCCTGTGAGGGGTGGGGGCTCTGTGGGCAGAATTCGTCGTGCAAAATGGGCTCATTGTGATCGATGGGCGTTGTAGAACAACAGCGGTTTGTAACTAGCTGCGAAGCCCACGCACGCTCAGGGTTTTCAGAGTCCAACATTTAGGGAGGATCTTTTGCATCAGATTCGTAAATATGTTTCTAGTCCTCAAGGAAGCCACCGTAGGTGTGAAGGAGATAGGCACACCATGTTTGTAGAAACTTCAGAAGCTAGAGAAGAAGCTGAGCAGGACAAAGACAAGGAACAACAGATATGTGCAGATTCCCTTGTTCTCATGTCCCATGGCCAGCATGGCAGACTCCGTAAGCATGGGTCTATTATTCAGACTCTTCCAGTAGGACTGTGGGACCCAGGAGAGATGAATTCTCTCAAAGCCATCCCTGCCCCCGAGATGCTGAAAAAAGTGGAAACATCAAATGCTATGCATTGCATTGTCTCTGGCACCTTCTAGAGGCCAGTTCTGGTAAGGCATCCTCCAGTCTCAAGAGACTATGGTCACATGCTCTGAGTGGAGGACTTGGAACAGCATCTAGTGTGGCCGAGAAGGCCAATTTGAGAGTGACCATCCCTTCCACGCTGAAGACAAATATAATCTGTCCCCTGTCCAGCTCCCTAGTTTTGCTGGTTTCGGGACGGCCTCTTTGCCTCGGCCTGCTGGACTAGGGTCTCTTCAAATTGGGAGAGGCCATGATGCACCGCCTGCCTCCAGGCCGGACGCTCAGAGGTCAGGGTTTCCCATCTGTTGAGATCCATTCCTAAGGCTTTCAGATCTCACTGGCAGATCTCCTTGTATCACAGCTGGGGTCTCCCTCTGGGGTGATTTCCCTGCACTAATTCTCCATACAGGAGATCCTTTGGGATCCAACCATCAGCCATTTTCACAACGTGCCTGAGCCAACATAGACATCATTGTTTCAGTAATGTGTACATGCTAAAAAATTGCAGCTCGTTCTAAGACTATTCAATTTGGAACTTTGTCCTGCCAGGTGATACCAAAAATCCGTCGGAGACAACACATATAGGTGTTCAGCTTCCTCTCCTCTCATGCACAAAGGGTCCAGGGCTCACTGCAGTACAGGAGTGTGCTCAGGACACAGGCTCTATAAACCTGGATCTTGGTCTATGTCGTCAGCTTCTTATTAAGCCATACTCTCTTTGTGAGTCTAGAGAACATGGTAGGTTGTTTGCCAATGCGTTTATCCAGCTCGACATCCAGGGAGAGGGTGTCAGAGATGGTTGAGCTGAGGTACACAAAGTCATGAACAAACTCCATTTCTTGTGTGGAGATGGTAGTAGAGGGAGGTGAGTCTACGCCCTGGGCCATAACTTGTGTTTTCTTCAGGCTGATAGTTAGTTCAAAGTCTTGGCAGGCCCTGCTAAAATGATTCATGAGTTGTTGGAGGTCTTCAGCAGAGTGGGCAACAATGGCTGCATCATCGGCAAAGAGGAAGCCCCGCATGCATTTCAGTTGGACTTTGGTCTTTGCTCTCAATCTAGAGAGATTAAAGAGCTTTCCATCTGATCTAGTCCAGAGATAGGCACCTTTTGTTGCAGTTCTAAAGGCGTGCTTCAGCATGACAGCAAAAAAGATCCCAAACAGGGTCGGTGCAAAGAGACAGCCCTGTTTCACTCCGCTTTGGATATCAAAGGGATCTGATGCTGAGCCACCAAAAACTACAGTGCCCCTTCATTCCCTCATGAAATGACCTGATGATGTTAAGGAGTTGAGCTGGACATCCAATCTTGGGAAGTATTTTAAAAAAGTCCGTCCCTGCTAACCAAATCAAAGGCCTTTGTGAGATCTATGAAGGCCACAAAGAGTGACTGTCGTTGTTCCCTGCATTTCTCCTGCAACTGTCTGAGGCAGTTCTGGTAAATACACATTGAAAATACATAAATGTGTCTTTTTTTATTTAGTATTTTCAGGCATTAGATAAGTGAATCAGTGGATACTGATCCTGTGGATAGAGGGTCCTACTGCACTTATTTCCCTCTAGTCACCCCTGCCACCCTTGGTTGAGATTGCAAGGAGCTCGGTCTCCGATGAGAGGGCCTGGGCAGCAGACCCTTGCTTGCTAGTGGATGCTTCGGACAACACTCTGGTTAAGTGCAGAAATGCAAACCTCCATTTGTCTGTCTCGCCCCGTGAGCAGGAGAGACATCTCGTGCCTGAGCCAGGATTTCCAAGAACAATTTTGACAAATGATGGGAAAAACGGTAACAGCTGCTGACTTATGGCTTGACAATCAGAAGCATCGGATGGGTTATTTTCATCTTAGGGAAAGTCAGCCAGTCTCGCTGTGTGTGCAGTGCCAGCTGCTTGCCTTCAAAAAAGAAACAAACTGGTTTTGCACAGAGTGCAAGTGTGGATTTTTTTTACAAAAAGCTTTTTTGTTTCATTCTTGGGCTGGAGGAGAAAAATCCGGAGGCGATCAGAGGTTTCTCCGCAGGCTGTCTTGATGTGTCGAGAGACAGCCTGTGTCATCCAGTTCCTAAAATACTTCTCCCCCCTGGCACCAAACCATTTGAAACTTTAATGACCAACAAATGACTTAATTGTGTCTGGAATGGACCGGCATCCTGGGGATAGAACGGCCACGGGCCCTTTTTCAGTGGGAGAGTCCTCCCTTCGAAGCAATGAGAGGAGACGCCTTCTCTTTTGGAAGGTGTTCTGCATTTCAGCACTGCTCAGGGTGTTGAATCCAAGGCTAGCCCTTAAAGAACCAGAGGGAGGGAGAGCAGGGATGGGGGAAAGGGCTGACCCTCTCCTGGCAGCAGCACCTGGCCACCGTCTCCCCCACTCAACCAAGTGTCCTGGTAGTTCTGTTCAGATGATAAAAATCATTTCCTATTGTTGTACCCCGACAGGCAATTTTATGTGAATTAGTCTTTGTTTTTTAGTGATGTAAAGTCACTCTTTTTGTTCTGATGAGCTGTTGATCACTGCAGCGCCGTGTGCTGCAAATGAGCAACGTACAGTAATTCATGAACTGCATGACACAAACCACGTTAGCAATAAGAACCACCGGGCTGCCATGAAATCATGAATAACGCACTGGGTTCTTCTCCAACCGCAATGTTCCAAGCTCTGATAAAAGCGCCTCGAAGGTATGCCTGGGCTGAGCAGACTCTGTTGGGTGGTGTGTGTGTGTGTTTGTTGGGAAACAAAGAGGTGGAAAGTTTTCACGAGCTACCACATCCCTAAAGGAATTATTTTGCTGAAGTGTCAGGGCCCCGAGGGAGGCCCTTGAAGCAGCCACGGCAGGATAAACAAAAACACCAAACCATTTAGACGGTATAAATCTTCCATCTTCTGCCAAAGGGATTCAAGAGAAGTACAGCATTATGTCAGGAAGCCCTCCAAAACTACTTCCGTCGTTGGATTGCAGTTCCCCATCTTCCCAAGCAGGAAGGCTGGGAATGATGGAGCTTGTAGTCTAAGACGCTGGGAATGTGCAAGGATGGAGAAGGCACCTCTTCTGCCTACTCGCGATGGAGCGGCATTTCCTCCCTGTCGATTATTATAAGCGTCGGGCCCAAATCTTTGATTCGGCAGTTCAGGTCGGTTTGTTTATTGGCCGAACAGGGTGCTCGGCGCTTCAAAGCCCCAACTTCTCTGGTGGGCGCCCATTCAGAGGCCCGTGCCTGGAGAAGGATGGGCAGGAAAACCAGGCCACTGCTTCCATGTGGGCATCCGCCAGGGCGGCGGGGCTTCAAAGCACCAGGCAGCTGTTCGGCCAGGAAACAAACCAACACGAACTGCTGAACCAGCGATTTCTCCGTAGAGACCCCGGTCCTACGGCATCACTTGCTCTAACGCTGTGACCCATCTTGGGTCCCCCTGCCAGGAGGAAGGCAGCCTACAAATTATGCTAAACAAACAATACCATATTTTTCTGTGTATAAGACGCACCCCACTTTTTCTAATCCAAAATTAAGACATCTAAGTGGGGCTTAGCAAGTGTAGGGGGAAAGGGATCAAAGCACTGCAGAATCGTTTTGATCCCTGCTTTCCCCTCCACTTCTTTTTATTCTTCTCTCCACAGCTTACTTCTGTGTATAAGACGACCCTCAATTTTTAGTCTGAAGATTTTAGAGAAAAGCATAGTCTTATACACGGAAAAATATGGTAAATAAGTAAAGCCAAATGAACAAACAAATACTGTAAATGCTGAACAATGATAATCTTCGCTGCAAAGAATTCTATTCTAACTGTTCCCGAGAGCAAACCCACAGCTCGGCTTCGTAGCCATCCACACCTGGATTGCAGAAACCGGCACGCGCGTGCCGTGACTTACATGGCGTCGTCTTCACTTTCCGCACAGAGCATGGTTTTGGACCCATCTCTTTGGACGATGCACATGAGACACTCACGGGTTCTCCCTTCTGGAGGCTGGATGTCTGGAAGGGAAAAGGAGGGTAAGTAAGAGGACGTAGAGGTCAAGAGTCCATCAATGGACAGCGGAAAGCTTGACAGTCAGAAGTTCTTCAGGGCAAAAGTCGAAGTGAAAAACTTTTCTGTCTCAAAGGCAGAATGTGACACCCCCCCAAGACCTTCGCCAGAAGGCCATCCTGACCCCCCCACCATGAGTCGGAGGCTTCCCACTTCTATACGGCTTCTTCCTCGTTCTTAGAAGTCGCAATGCCTCTCCTAAGACTTAGCTCTTGACTTGCATGGTGTTTTTTCCAGGAGCTTTAAGCTCCACGGTGCTTTTGGCGCAATCCATCTCTAAAATGCCATCCCAAAGAATGTTTTGGAAATGAAATTTGGGCCTCAGGATGAAAGACGGTCTTGAATCCTGACTGAAAGAAACCCAAATGCTAGGAAAAGACTTAGTCAAATACCTTGGGCAGCGGTTGCCGATCAGAGGAACCAGCCCTTAAATAAATTATTTTTTAAGGACGAAGACCACCAGAAACTGAATCTCACGCTGGTTGGGAGGGACCCTGTGGGCTGTGGTCCAGGAAAGTAAAATCCCCAATTTATTTATTTGTTCTGAAGATCTTTAAGCACATTTCTCAAGCTCTGTGTTTTAAAAAGGCAGCTTTCTGTCCCTCTGGTACGAACTGAACTGTACCACGACATGGGATTCTTAAGAGCAGCACTTCTGCATCTAAAAGCAGGTATAGATGTTTCCAGACCCCACTCCTAGGAAGCTAAGCTGAGAAGTGCCTGCTTAGTCATGCCTGCTGATCGATCTCTCAGGAGGGGAGAGAGACGGCACATAGCTCTCTGGCCTTTTAAACCCCTGATAGTTAACAAAACAAGGAGAGTAAAAAACAGTAAGCACGGAGGGATTATGCCAAGAGAGAGAAAGAACAACAAGAAAATACAAGTTGATAAAGTTATTAAAGCTGCACAGTTCCACTTGGGTTGGGCAGACTGTACATTTAGCCTTTTTGCAGGACAACGTGAATTGCCTGCATACGTTATTTTGTTTTCTTAGTGTCAAGCTCACAGGCCTGATTATGAAGTAGTTCCTTGCATACTTAAGGAAATGTTGAATGGGGAAGCTCTTTGAACAGCTAACAACATGTAGAAAGTTTGATTTCCATTTGCTTTTAAAAACAAACACAAACCAACCCTCTATTCTCCTGCCTTTTCTCCCAGGAGCCCAAAGTACGTAGCTTCTAGCCTCCACCATAATGCGCTGCTGAGATTATAAATTACAAACACCTAAAATCATGCATTACAGATGTCTCATCAAATAGAGCAAAAGCAATTGCTTATTCCTGAAAAGCCCATGCAAATACTGCAAATATGTTTTTATTTGGTGCCTGGAAGGCTAGAGTGTGGTGAACCATGAGATTTGTAACTTAAGGGAGGTCAATGTATTCTCGAAGGCTTTCACTGCTGGGATTTGATGGTGGTTGTAGGTTTTTCGAGCTGCTTGGCCATGTTCTGAAGGTTGTTCTTCCTGACGTTTCACCAGTCTCTGTGGCCAGAATCTTCAGAGGACAGGAGCTAGAAGTCTGTCTGTGTTCCCACAAACTGTAAAAATACAGTCTGTAAAAAGTCAGTGAACTCTACTCAGCTACAAAGACCGGTGATCACTGCACACAAAAGACCAGCTAACGACCCCATCAATCAGTGACAGATAATCTCTCCCCCTTATCACAACAATACACCCATAACAAAAAACACGTTGATCACCATTATCACCCAGTCTCCTGAAAAGGACAAAAAGCTGATCCAACAGCTATAAATACTCAACTATCCAAACAAACTGCACCAGAGCACAGACAGAGTTCTGACTCCTGTCCTCTGAAGGTGCTGGCCACAGAGACTGGTGAAATGTTAGGAAGAACAACCTTCAGAACATGGCCAGACAGCCCCGAAAACCCACAACACCCATCAACGGAGTTCCTTAACCAGTGCGCCACCAGTGAGAAAGCCCTGCTCCTACAGAAACCCTCCAGGTTATGTTATTCTGGAGCACCACTGCTTAAGGACAATTCATGCAGCCGTGGCAGCACAAATGGAATTATATCACCCCCACCCGTGGGCAAACACTTCTGAAAGAGTTCCTGCTCGAGTTTCATGGGGTGCGTCTCATTACTCACCCGCTGTGCTCAACCCAGAATTCAACGTGCCACTCTAGGACATGATGGTGAGGAAGAATACAGGGAGGGGCGACCCCAAAGACTAAATAACCATCTAGAGCAGGGTGGTGGGGGCGGTCCAGGAGGTACCCTTTTGGCCTCTGGAACCATCAGGGGCCAAACCCCCCCCCGCCCCAAAGGAAACAACAAATGCAAGCGACAACTGGAAGCAACTGACATTTTGGGTTCCAAAAAAGATGTGGGTGTACTAAGTGGTGCAAGAGGGAGGCCCTACAGCCTCATTAAAAGGTGAAACTCCATTCTTGGGAGGTTTTCCGAAGCAGTAACTTAAAAAAAAAAGAAGAAGAAGTGGGGATCGGAGGAGAGCACGGCCCACAGAAAGACATGGTAGGGCAGCCCTCTCCAAAATGCTTGTGCCCTCATCTGGAGGAACGGAACGGGCTTTCTTGGATATGCCTTTATCCCCCAGCATCCCCAGATTGGACTTGCTTTCTGCCTTCAGTATCAGGTTCTGTCATGACAGCCTTTAAAGGAGAAGTGGGCCATTATTCCGAGGGGGGTGGACCATGGGGGTGAGTGTCCTGCTCGGCTCGGGAAGAGGACATTCCAGCAGTAGGTGGAGGTTCAAAGGCGTCAGGCAGCGCCAGAGGTCATTCTTTCCAGCGCGGGTGTTTTCTCGCTATCCCCTGGGAAACACATTTCAATTCTAGGCGCACGAGTTCAGAAGAAACCCACGTGAAACAGCTTCCAAGGCCGCCCATCCCGAAGAGCTCAGTTCCCCATTGGGGGGGGGGAAGGATCCAGAACTGCAGGTCAGAACTCAGCTCTCCACCATTCAGTCCCTGAATGGGCAAATTCTTATCTCCAACCTCCGATCAGTGATCAGAGATAAGAATACTAGCAATCTGCAAGCTTGAATTTGCCTGTAGTAAGCGATTCCCCATCCCGTATGAAAGACCAGTTTACTCGGCCTCTAATTCGCTGATGTTCTTCAGTGGTGGTTCCATATAATTTTGATCTTATCTTCGCTTTCATTCTTTGATTATGTTTTATACTTTTAACGTCTCATTATATATCAGCTGGAGGGGGGGAGAGAACAGGGATTACCCTGAAAGGCAGCTTGTACATCTTAAAGAGAGTAAAAATTTTTTTAAAAAACTCTTGGAATCGAAGCAAGGGAGCAGTCATCAATGAAACACGATCCTATTAAATAAAACAATAAATAGGACTTTTGCTTAATCAGGACTACTGTTCATTAAACCGTGCCGAAAAAGTTGATTAAAAACCTTCTAGTTGTTAACGTCTCTATTAATGGAGTCTTTTCATTGCTTTGCCTAGGATCGGAGTCAGACTCCAGTAACCTTGTAATTAATCAAAGGTTTATTATTACCCCTCTTGTTTCTTTCCGAAGTTGCAAGAAATGTACTCGCTGTTCAAAGCCCGTGAATGGGTTCCGGAGTGAAACCTCAGTATCTTGAAGCCACATAGAATTAAGGGCAGGCGCCTGAGCGTTTCAGGGGAGCTACAAGGGCATAATTCGGAGATAGCCCTCGGAGACAAGCAGCCGATTTCATGGCTCCTGCTGTGGCCACCAAAGATCCGGACAACCATCTCAGAGATGCCTGGTAGACGAGGCGAAGTTCAAACAAGGCTGGCAGGGCAGAAAAGGGACTTCTAAGCAAGGCACCGGCAGAGCTCCAGAAAGTTGCCTTGTTGACCACAGCTCCCAGAATCCCCAGACCATCTTACAATAAACTCATTATAAAGGTCATTGATTCACAGTCATCCATAAATTGATGGCCATCATCGATGGTATCTAATAACACCTGGCTCCTGTCCTCTGTCCTTCCGAGGGCTGGGTTGGGAAGTAGAAAAGGAGAAATTGAATGTGAAACTTCCTTAGTCTTCCTGCAGAGGGCCTTCTTGGTGGCTGCTCATAGTCTGTGGAACTCCCTTCCACAAGAAGGTCCGGCTGGTCCCTCACTGTATGTAAAGATGGGAGATTTTCCTCAAACGGCCGTTGGGCCAGTGACTAGTGGATGAGGAGCGGGCTGCTAATGGTGGGGGCTGCCCTTTTCTTGGTAGCCCCCTGACGGGTTTGCAAATCGCTTTTAAATGGTTCTAATCCGAGGCTCATTTTTAATCCCTTCCCTTTGTTTTAATGTGATCACTGCACCTTTTAGCAAAATCTATTTTTCAATCTGTGTTGTGCACCATCTCAGGGCGAAAAGTGAGAGGCGTATAAATGAACAAAGAAAAAGAAACAAATAAATAGCTTGTCTTGTTGACAGGAGTTTAGCCAACCTACAAACAGAGCTTGGAGAGTTATTGTTAAGAAGAATCTATCTCATGACATGCTGAATGCATCCAGACTCAAGCAGAGACAGGATGAGGTTCATGTTGGGAGTTTTTACAACCTCGCATGCACCCATCTGTTTGTTTGATTGGGAGGGGCTTTTCTGGGCTGTGACGATTGTTTATCCAGCAATAACCAATCATTTTTTTCCAACTTCTGACTTCAAAGAGAGCCCCACCTCTCTATGGAGGGCTTCTCTCTTCCCCCTCTCTTTAGTTGGTTGGAAGTCAGACTATTGTTAGTTTGCTGTTGATCTGCTCACAATTGTAAGTAATGAAACGTTATTATTTTCTCCTACAAACATCTCAAGAGTGGAGTTCCTGAGACCGTAAGTGCCAGTTAAGGAGAAAAGGATGCAGAATGTTCAGCTGTTCTCCTCTGTGGATCTCTGAACTTCTGCTGTGCAGCACAAGGAATTTTAAGCAGAAACTCAAAACACTGCACCAGTTTGGAGCTCCAGAGCAGCATGCTTTGATTACACAGTTCTGGACGGCTTCCGCATGTCACGGCTTTCATTCTTATTAACAGCTACTTTCTAGGCTCTGCATACAGGTTGAAACACAAATGGGATGAAAATACATTGCAGGCGTTTCAGCAACAAAACGGCAGGTGCTCGACATGAGACGTACTTGCCGTTTGAAACGCTCCTTACGAGAGAGCAAACATATAAATACAAATTGCAGCAGGATTATGTTTGAATACTTCTTGTGGAAAACCTCTTTTAACCACTCAACTTACTGCAGCCCAGGTAGAGGCTCGTTACAAATCACAGGCCTTCTAATTCCATTTTCCCACGTGAACCAGGACTGAATCGGCTAAACCAGTGGCTGAGTTTGCATTAGCTTGAAGCAGCGCCAAACGCAGAGCATCTCCTGTGGTGCTTGAACCTGAGCAGAACCCACAATTAAGGACCCCAAATCTCTGCTTCGACATCATTCTGGCCAGTCTCTCACTCCTTGCTCGGAAAAGAAGAATGATTTTTTTTGTTTAAGGGAATCAAAACCACGAAAGGGGGGTGGAGTATAATATTCAGCCCGGCGTATTGGTACCAAATGCCCCAGCTTTTTCTCGGGGTGGTATGGCATGTACTCCCACCCACAGCAGCAGCAGAAGAAGAAACGTATTCATTGTGACGGCCTGGGTTTACCAGACGCTTGTCTGACGGACCCTTCTGGTTTAGAAATTCCTAGAGTCACGAGGAAGCTGAGGCTGATTTTAGCAATATGGTGATTTTTCACTGGGAAGATCTTCCTAAGCATCCTACTTAAAACACCCACTTGGATCGTGTCATTGATGGGATCAGCACAGTCGGAGCTGCTCCAGTGCGTTGGTCCTTTTATCGTCAGGCTTGGGCATGTCGTGAGAATGGCTGATGTTGGTCCTTTTATCGTCAGGGTCCCTAGAGTGGAAACAGCGCCGTCTACGTTGGCTTGGGCACATCATGAGAATGGCTGATGGTCGGATTCCAAAGAATCTCCTGGATGGAGAATTAGTGCAGGGAAATCGCCCCAGAGGGAGACCACAGCTGCGATACAAGGAGATCTGCAAGCGGGATCAGAAGGCCTTAGGAATGGATTTTCTCAACAGATGGGAACCCTTGACCTCTGAGCATTCAGCCTGGAGGCAGGCGTTGCAGGCCTCTCTAAGGATGGATGGATCTTGCAAGGTCATTCCATGCAGGAAAGAAATGGAAGGCTCTTCGCTGATGCACGAAAGGCTGTGAAATGACAAAGGTGTGCTAAGCTGCTATTTTGGTCAATGATTCGGAGCACCCACCAGGCAGCATGGCCATCGCGTCGGAGAGCCAAAAAAAGTTGCTTGCTTCTTCTCTGACTAGCAGCAGGGAGCTAAACTGTGAATTGTGCTTGGGGTTTCGGGGGAGACCAACATCTCCGGAAAGGGGCTTGTGATTTAAGCCAACTCTAGGGCTCTGTAGGCTTCCTTCAGTCTCAAGAGACTATGGTAACGTGCTCTGAATGGAGGACGTGGAACAGCGTCTCGTGTGGCCGAGGAGGCCAATTCAAGAGTGACCATCCCTTCCATACTGAAGACAAATACAATCTGTCCACTGTCCTGTTCCCTGTTTTTGCTGCTTTCGAGACTGCCTTTTTGCCCCAGCCTGCTGGACGAGGGTCTCTTCAAATTGGGAGAGACCACAATGCACCGCCTGCCTCCAGGCCGAACCCTCACAGAGGTCAAGGTTTCCCATCTATTGAGGTCCATTCCTAAGGCCTTCAGATCCCACTTGCAGATCTCCTTGTCATAATACCCATAAGGCAGGATTTTTATATGGAGTTCAGTAAACAGTCTTTCCAGAGCTGAAACAGCCATGGCTTATTTTACCTCTGTGGCTCTTCGAACCGTTTGAAGTACGAACACCAGGGAATATATTGCAAATTTCTGCCGTCAGATTCTGTTCCGGAGGGAACGATGCTTCTTGCCAGCTCTTTCGAGCCAGAGTTGCAACTGGGGAGCAAAAATGAGACGGAGCCATCACGGCAAGCTCATTGAACCGCATGCATCCATTTTCTGGAACCTCGATGGTACCGGCGGGGGGGGCCTTTGCTAGAGATGGACAGTCAGCTGAACAGCTGCCGAGCTTGGCCTGAGAATGGAGGGAAGGCTCCAAAGTGGGAGCCCGCTTCCGTGAACCAAGCCTTTGTTTCGGCTGTTTATTTCTACCCATTGTTTGAGTGACTCAGCCGTTGTGGTACCATGCTGTACAAGAGCAACAAACAGAGCCAGGAGAGAAGGGGGAGGGCGGGAGGAGATGCTGATGCCTACGAAGAACCCAGTCAAAACAACAAAAAAGCAGCAACGACAAAGGGGAAGGAGGTGAGACCAGATCCTGTCCTATGTTCTGTGGCCCTTAGGAAATTCTCTAAAGGGCTGTGGGTGCCAGGCTGAGATAGGCGACACTATCGAGTCTAGATCTCGGAGCCAGAAGGAGAAAGAGGCCATGTGGCTACCTTTGCCATTCCTACAAGCAGCCTTTCATGCATCAGCAAAGAGCCTTCCATTTCTGTCCTGCACGGGATGATCTTTCAAGATCCATCCAACCTTAGGTTTGGGTGACCTCGTGGGAATCTTTTGGCAAAAAGTGTGCCCCCCCTCGGCAGGTGGACCCCGTCCTCGCCTGCCCTCTTGCCCCTCTCTTCCCCATTTGGGCATCTTCCGAAAAAGTGCACCGAGACCTCCTCTGCAGATGGATGGGTGGCCAAGATTAGCCCAGTCTTTCCGCTGAGATGGTCCTAAGGATAAAAATGCCCTTTAGATTCCTTGGGGGAAAAGAAAGGAAAACTAGCTTTATAATTCATATGGTAGTTGAACAAAACCAAGTCTCTTTGAGATAAAGATCCTGGTTATCAGACAGTGAGATTATTATTTTTTTAAACAAGGCACTCTTTTTTTCTCAAAAAAGACACTTCTGGTCTCTCTACCCTTCCTCCAACATAGTAATTTATATATAATATTTTATATCCCACTTTTCCTCCAAAGAGCTCAAAGCAGTGTACGTAGCTCTCCTCTCTATTCTCACAACATCCCTGCCAGGCAGGTCAAGCTCAGTAAAACAGCCACTAGATTTATGTGAGTTCTGGTCCAAAGATGAGATTCCTCTAGTCTCCGTAAGAAGACGGGAACAACACCAAACAGGGGTGGTAGTCCTGACATATCATGGCATAGCCCAAGGCAACGTGGCTTGCCCGTGGCCCATGGACTCACCCCGGCACTCGCGCCCTGTTCTGACGTCCCTGCAGTTGAACTTGATGTTGATCCGGCCGTCCATATCATGCCCGGTGTCATCATGGTAATAGACCAAACTTCCGTCCACCCATAAGACAAACCAGTTTCTTTTCCAGCGTCGTAGAATGGAGCCTGTGCAGGAAAGCAGGGTCGGTGAAGGTGAATATCCATCCATCCATCCATCCATCCATCCATCCATCCATCCATCCATCCTAAACATTTTACAAAGTTTCTAGTAAAAGGTATACAGAAAGGGGTTCACAGGTAGGAGGGAGCATAGGCCAGGAGGCCCTTCTGAAGGTCCCGTCCCTGAAAGAGGTGGGGGGGGCCCGGCATACCGAAATAGGGCTTTCTCGGATGTTGCCCCCCCAACTTTGGAATGCCCTCCCTATAGAGATCCGCCTGGCTCCCCCATTTTTGGCTTTTTTTCGGCGCCAGGCAAAAACCTTTCTCTTTAGCTAGCATTTTAATTAAATACTATTCTTTAGCTGGCCAGCAGGAGTTATTAATATTCATGTTTTAATGACTGTTTCTAATATGGGGTATTATTATAATATTACCTACTTTTAATGGTTTTAATGTTTTTTAAGTTTTAATATTATTGTATGCTGCTCAGAGACCCCTGGTAATGGCGCGGCTAAAAAAATCTTATAAATACATAAATAAACCAATTTTATAATTTTTTCAAAGTACTCAATGGTGCGGCTAAAAAAAATCTTATAAATAAATAAACAAACCAATTTTATAATTTTTTCAAAGTACTGACATTTTGGAACTTCCGATCATTTCTTACTCAATCTAACAGTTACTCCCTCACTTCTCTGATGCAGCCCCCTCCAAGAAGTGGGAACCTCTCCAGAGGGCTCCATACCCAGGCAACCCTGAAAAGGGTCACGCTAAGCCGAATTTTGACTTGACCGCAAGTCACGATAATTATGATCCCAGTACAAGAATCCAGAGCAAACTCTGCAGCAGTAAAATTCCTCCATCAAAACAGAGGACTCAATTCACTGAGAACGCCGTCCGGAGTCCCCTTGAAAATGGAATTTGTTCTGTTTGACGGTTGGCCAAAAGAGAGAGAGAGAGAGAAGAGCCTTTTGATGCCCGAAAGATGAGCAAGTTTTATTTGCATAGGGTTTTTATGATGCCCGAAGGATGAGCAAGTTTTATTTGCATAGGGTTTTGAGGACTGCGGTTCAGTTCTTCCGACGGCATTTGTACACCTGGGCTACAATCCTGGAAAACGCAGGCCAGGTAACATCTGCTAAGGAGCCACAAAACTCTTTCTGGCTCTTAAAGTGAAATGGTGTCCATCAAAAATCAATCCTCTCTTGGCTGAACAGGCATAACACAGGCTTGCACTGGTGGACTTTTATTTTTTATTTTTTGTAGATGATGCCCTGCGTTTTGCTGACTCTCCTTCCTGGCCTCTCTTCCTATCTTGTTTTGCCTTGTCTGCTAGATGTGTTCCAAAGAGGCAGGTTCTGGTGATCAAATATCCTCAACTGACAGCCGTCAACAGCTCTGCCGTTGACGAAGAGGGGCTAGCGTTGCATTGATGCATCAGGAAGGAACAGGAAGGATAGAGCAAGGAGGGAGACATGCAAATAGAGCCTGCAGAAGAAAAATATATTGCACAGTTCCAGGATTCCTGCTAGAAGACAACCTGCAGGGAGGGGCTCTCGGCAGGCTCTGCAGCGATGCAGAAAGGAATGAAGTTGGGAAGGGTTTAATATTTGCTGGAAGGGTAAACGCACAAGAGGAATAATTCTTGTAGCTCTCCCACCGTGGGGATATCATCGTCGTCATCTTAGAATTGCAGAGCTGGAAGGGGCCCCATGGATCTTCAAGTCCAGCCCTTTTCAAGGAGACACATGGGGGGATTCGAACTCTCAGCCAGAGACCTAAACCCCTGAGACATCCAACAGTTCTCCTATAAATGCGGCAGGTGCCATATTTGCACTCCTTGTGTCTTAAGAAGTGGGTTTTGGTCCACAAAACCCCTCACCAAACATGATTCAGAAGACAAGGGTGGGCGGCGCTGTGATCAGGTCTACCAACGTATCAGAAGCATAGGCTAGATATCAGCGGGACACGAGTCCTCCTCAGGCTGTGGGAGGTGCAGGAGAAACAGGACCAAACCCCATGGCTGACCATGTGCCAAAACACAAGCTTAGGTTTGTCATGTTTTCGTAGGTCTCATAAAAGTATCACCCTCTTTTGCTTTCAAATTGTGTACAAAGACCACTCTGTCCCCCCCCTTTTCTGTTGGACCAAAATAAAGGACATCGATTGTTAAAGTGCTACGTTATTCTGTCCTTCTTCTCTGCCCTTTCTGTGGGTTCTCCCCCCTTTTAATTAACAAATGAAAAGGGTGAGAGAATCACAGAACCGTAACTCGAGAAAGGGTTCCCCAAGAAACTTTGAGGTTCTAGGTTCTCCAATGGCAGCATCAGGGAGCAGAGGATGGGAAAGAGAAACGTCTCTGTGCCTTAAAGCTCCGAACCACTGGGGTCAAGAATCAGGCAGCCATGGAGATCCTGGGAACCGTTTTCAAATTCTCCCCCCACCCAGCGCCTAAACCACAAGGGAAAGCCGAAAACCGCTTACACCTAAGACGTGTAGCAAAGTGGAGTGGGGGGTAGAGAACAGTCAGTGCAGGAAATCAAATTCAGGGTTGATCCCAGCCACCTCTAGTTTTTGGTGGTTGTTTTAAAGCAAAAGAGAGAGAAAGATCAGAGCAGAGACACCCAGGAGACTCTCTTTGGTCTAAAATGCCCAGAAAGCTAAGTGACAAGGTGGAAAGAGAATCTGGTTCCAGATAGGATAGCATTTTTCAGCTCCTTGAAAGCCCCTCTATAGGAGGGGCGGGATCTGTTCTCGATCCTCCCAGAGTGCAGGACATGCAACAACAGGAAGCCAGATTTTGGTTGGATACCAGGAAAAAATCTCTTTACTGTTAGAGCAGTACGACAAGGGAACCCATGGTCTCAGGGGGAGGTGGTGAGCCCTCCAACGCTGGAGGCCTTCAAGGGAAAATCTGCTTTGATTAGGATCCTTGCCTTGAGCAGGGGGTTGGACTAGATGGCCTTAGAGGCCCCTTCCATGATTCTGTGATTCTATGATACTACATCCTTAGTACAAGCGACGGGGTTTAGGCAGGCTATGGGACAACCCATCTCATGATTACTAAGAGCTTGGATCAGTTGCTGTTGTTTAGTCATTCAGTCGTGTCCGACTCTTCGTGACCCCCCATGGACCAGAGCATGCCAGGCCCTCCTGCCTTCCACTGCCTCCTGGAGTTTGGTACCAAATTCATGTTGGTCGCTTCGATGACACTGTCCATCCATCTCGTCCTCTGTCATCCCCTTCTCCTCTTGCCTTCACACTTTCCCAACATCAGGGTCTTTTCTAGGGAGTCTTCTCTTCTCATGAGATGGCCAAAGGATTGGAGCCTCAGCTGCAGGATCCGTCTTTCCAGGGAGCACTCCGGGTTGAAATGACCCTGGGAAATTCTGGAAATTATAATTTAATGTATAAACCAAAGACCACCCGCAGAACAGTTTGGCTTTTGCTGAAAACCAAGTCCCCCTTGGATTTAATAGGCACGACGTCCTCTCTGATGGAAGCCATAGAGGTTGTTTCCATAGCAAACTCCTTGACAGTCGGGTGCTAACCACTCATTCAACGCTGGCATTCATTAGATGTGCACCGTGTTGAGTCTCACCCTCGTTGTTTATGCACTCAGCACCGAAACCATCCTCATTGCCATCATCACGACATGGGGTGTGTGTGGCAGGATGCTGGATGTGACTCTCTCAAACAGCACCCCCTTCCAAGTGAGATTCATTTCTGACCCATCAGCTGCCGCTATTAATTAGTTGTTTACTTTTCAACATACAGCTTTGTTTTCCAGCGCATTTTTTTTTTAATTCGGCAAGCTGTGGGCGTAACGGCTTATGTGAAAAGGGACTGATTTCATTTCACATGGTCCCTACCCTTGTTTTGAAACAGAGGTGTGATTTTCAGTGAACGTTGGCATTTCCTGTTTCTTCTGAAAAACCTTCTACGTCTATTATTCTTGTTCCCTTTTATTTCACATTTCCATAACAACAGCTTCCCCCCCCCGCTCCGGGTACCTGCCTAATACCCAATAAATCCTTCCTTGATCTTCATCCACACTCGCTTCTTAAACATTTAATTTAACTTCAGATTCCCAACAACAGAGATAAGGGATATGAGAACGGATGGGTGGGGTGGGGGTAAGGAACACTGGGAAACAGATTGTTAACTCCAGGCTTTCGACAGCATTCAAACCCCTAAAAAAGGGAGGAATTTTGGAGTTCTCTGTTGGAAGAGGCAGTCAAGTAGGGATGGGAGAGGAGGAGAGTAAAAGTTTTTTGCGTCAGGGGATTCAGCCGTGCTTCAGGTCAATAACCTCTCAAGCAAAGCAACTTGGGACAAAACGTGGCCCAAACACACCAATGTAGTAGCCTCCCCCAATATTTGTGGGGGATCAGTTCCAATCCTTCTCCGTGGATGCTGAAAGTGCAGATAATAGTGAATACTATTTGAATAGTGAATGTTATACATTCCATGGTCTCTAGCTCCCACTTGTGGCCAGTTCTGATAACATCACCTTTAGAAAAATATATATCTAGGATTTTTCGTTTAATATTTTTAATATTTTCAGACCATGGATAAGAGGACCAGTGTATACTGATCCTTCAAATGGCTTTTTTTCCCTATTGTAATTCCCCATGTGACACCCTCCCCCCGGGGAGTGCGGCAGAAGCCACAATGGGAACGCCTGTCAGACAGACAAAGGCTTCAGAGACATGGATTCAAATCCCCACCATGAAACTCCCTGGATAGCATGTGTGCAGTCACTGTCCCTCCCCCTGACCTACCTCACAAGGGGATCGCTAGGATACAATGGGAGGAGAAAAGTGGGGTATAAACGTAGCAGACAGATAACGGGGATCCTGAAATGACCACCAATAGGTTGAGATATGTCTGCGGCTTAATTATATTCCCTTTTGCAAACCGTTGGTTGTTTTATTTCCTATTTCTCATTTGAATGGTAAATCACCTTGAAGGCCTTCCCAGGGCATTATGTTAATGCTGTAAATTCAGGATGTTTCCTGCAAACGCTCTCTGCTGCCTGGCACAGGGCGTAAATGCCAGAGCGTCAGTAGGTCCTTAGCAATCCGAGTACAGTATATTACATTGATTTTTACATCAACTGTGCCTCAGGCTGGTCTAATTCCAGGCCGCAGGATTGACCTTTAAAGCCATTAGCTGTTTGGAAGCACTCTCTCTGGCCCGTACAAACTTCCTCGAGCCTTTTCATCCACTTTCAAAACTTTATTCTCCCACCTAACCCTGGGAGAAATACTTTATTTATTTATTTAACTTATATGCCACCCACACTACCCGGAGGTCTCTGGGCAGCTTACAACATTTACAATACAATAAAAAGGCAAAATAATTAAAATGCAGTTAAAAATATATACTCTAAAAATTGCCATCGGACCCACAGCTGACATTATTGCAATTAAAAGCCTTCTGGAACTTTGGTGGGGCCGCCTCTGTTTTGGTCCTATTGTGGTGAGCGAAAGCCCCTCCTGCTTCTGGAACTTTAGTGGGGCCGCCTCCGTTTTGATCCTATTGTGGTGAGCGAAAGCCCCTCCTGGAAAATCCAGACATTTATTTCTCTGTCGACAAAAAGTTTTCTAAAAAGCTAAAAAAAGAAATACATCTGTGTTTCTTTCCTAATGTTCTAAAAGGTCTTCCCTCGAAAAGGTGGAGGGCAGAGAATCAAGTCAGAATCTTGATGGACAGACTCAGAAGCCAAGGAAGAGAAAAAGAAAAGGAGGGTGAATTTGTTTCTCTTTTTTACCTGAAATTTACAGATGGTAAAAATATGCACATTTGGGGGAAAAACATCCCATGATTAGGGGTATCACTAAAAAAAAAATACCTGTGATAGGCAAGTTAAGTCATCTGTGCTGAAGACGCAAGACAGATTCTGGAACAGCCTTACTAAACCTGGTAGCTTCTAAAGCTGCTGGACTATACTTCCCATCATCCTCATCCAGGATGGCCAAAGGAGAGACTAAAGGTAGCTGGACAGCTCAGTGATTTATGGCATCTGGATGCAGAGCGAAAGATGGCGAGTTCAATTCCCTGTTTTGCATTTTCTGAGAGAAGAGCTAGCCTGGGTAGCTTTGGGCCAGCTGCAAAATGGCACCCCCAGAAAGAAGGGAAGAGGGAAACCCCTTCTGAGTATTCTCGACCTGGAAAATCCTTGAAAAGGATCGCCATGAGTCAGAATTGACTCGACAGTGTATATGGTGATGATGATCAGTGGTTCTTAACCTTTGTTACTCGGATGCTTTTGAACTGCAACTCCCAGAAACTCCAGTCAGGACAGCTGGTGGTGAAGGCTTCTGGGAGTTGCAGTCCAAAACTCCTGAGTAACCCAAGGTTAAGAACCAGTGATGATGATGATACTGAATATTTGATAGGATGAGGAAGGAAAGATAGGGTGGATCTAGGAAAGAGATATAAGGAAAACTGAGATGATGGATAAGTAGTTTTAATAAGTGCTCATGCTGCTTTTCCACAGAGGCCGAAGCCAAAAGAAATGTGTAGGGCAGTACATTAAAATGGGCTTCATAATACTTAAAATACTACTTTATGGAAACTGAGACGTCCTCTGTTTTGTGTGTCTGTTTTTGAGGGTAAAGCAGCTCTCTTTCTCCATATACAGATGATGTAAGGGAACCCTAAAGATGTACATAGATTGTTGTTTTAAATGCTTAGAAATTAGCTTTCTTTTTGCTATGAACATGGTGTTTCATGAACGGATTATGACATTCTAGCACCCAGAGGGAAGTGGGATTTGGATTTTCTGCTTCAGAAATGAAATCTCATAAGAAGAAGCACTACTGTACCCATAAACCACCACCCCCCAAAAAGTGAAAGAGCTGAGGTGCAAAAAATAACTTTTCCAAACTCATTCTGTAGTGAATGTAGAGAGCAGAGGTGAACAGTTTTGTGCTTTTTCAGATGACAACTCTCAGAAATCTGGGAGTGGTTGCCCAAAACACCCCAGTTAAACTGTAAACCGCCCAGAGAGTGCTTTTATGTTTAAAAATGTCTCTTATATCTGAGGCGGTGGACTCAGCTTTTATGTTTAAGAATGTCTCTTATATCTGAGGCGGTGGACTCGTCCACGAAAGCTCACATTAAAATATAGCAGTTTGTCTTTAAGGCGCCAACCCACGTTCTTCTCCTTTTTAAATTTATTTTTATTTTGTTTTTGCCCCGAGACCAAGAATTAAAGAGAATGAGGAAAGTATCTTGCTAAGACATCACAAACAGAGGCAACCGTTGTGTGAAAACACACACCCACACCCCCTGAAAAAAAAGCTCTAAAGCACATAAGCATATATATGATGCCACTAGCCGTGTTGGGATAACAACTCTCAAAAATCCCCATGCTTTACAAAGTTTTTTTTTTGCCTTTGTTAAAAGCTCTGCATTGAACATGGTCCAATTTGTGTTTAGGTAGATTTGGACCTGCCTGTGCCGTTCTGTTCTCGGAATGTGGAACGGGTCCAAAACTGCATCTCCGGCCCCTTCAAATCCATTGAGGGAGAAGACTTAAATCACCTCCCATGGAATAGGGCAAAGTAACAATCCCTGGCAGCCATCTTATCCCTTCCATTCCACCCCACCTAGACATCCCGAAGCTACTTACTCTGCCGCCAGAGCCAACCGCATTTCAACATGGCCATTTCTTGCACGGATTCTTCTCCACGTGTCACCAGAGAGGAAGGCTTAGGAAAGAAAAGAAGCACCTTTAGAAGCTTAAGACGTTACAGGGAGTCCCATCCTCTCCCCTCCACGGATCAGCTCCTGCACCGATTAAAAAAAAATTCCAACTTATTTAGCTCCTTGGAATGGAACTGGATAGCTCTGCCATTGAGAGAGAGGTGGGGAGTTCGAATCCTGTGCTGTGACTCCTTAACAGGGACTAGACTCCATGATCCCAAGGATCCCTTCCAGCTTTGCAGCTCTAAGATGATCGCTGTGCCTCCTTAACAGGGGCTAGACTCCATGATGCCAAGGATCCTTTCCAGCTTTGCAGCTCTAAGGTGATGATGATGATGATGATTGTTGTTGTTATTTCCCAAACAGAGGCAGACACCCTCAGAAAAGGAAGAGTAGCAATTGAAGTCACTGGGCATCTAAATATAGGCACACGGTCTGCACTAACCAGAGCATTTTTTTAAATGCTCCTCTCGAATTATCTCTGTTATGTAAATTACATAGGGTGGGGAGGAGAGAGGGAGGGAGGGAGGGTTTAGACTCCTTCTGTGGGATTTAGAGATTAGCATTTGGATTCTATGTTTAACTAGAACATACCTGAGGCACACTTTAGAGAAGGTTCTCTCCCTGCCTCAGCTTCCGCCTGCCTTTCGCCCCCTGAATCATTGCAAAACACCGGTTTGTGGGGCTTCCAAACATCCTTCCCGGACATGAACTACTCTCCAAAAGGATGAAGGCATCGTAGTAAAATAAACACCCTCCCTTCCCATCCCACTGGCATATAAATAAATCTAAACTGTTGGGGAAGGAAAAAAACACACTACAGTCTTGCTAATTTGCATAGACAGATACACCCAGCGCGAGGCTTGGAATTAGCCTGCCAGCGGTCATGGCGGATGAGGCAAAAAATAGCAGATGCATCATGCTCAGGTGTTTCTGAGAGATGTGGGTCACCCTGGCAAAGAAACGGGAGGGGGGGGGAGATTGACAACAAGGGCTTGTGATCCACCCAGAGCAGGAAAGGAAAGGGAGATACAGAGGCACACAGAATGACAAGGACACCAGTGGGACAGGTGGATTCCTTGGGGGAATAATCTGTTTATCATCCATGTAAAGCAGCCGGATGAGAGGCTGTGCGGGTGTAATGGACAGAGGGGTCAGACTGGCACTCAGGAGAGCTGGATTCAAATCCCGCTCCGACCCCTCCCCAGCTGCGGACCTGCGCCGGGTGGTGATGGCAACTGTAAACTATTCTTTAAACATTCCACGTGCTTGGAAGGCCGGGTTCAGGGTGCCGAACAAGAGTTGGGGGGGAGGCATAAAATGATACCAGCAAAGTGCTTAGATAAACAAGGGTTATGAAACGCTGGAGTTTCCATGGTTTGCAAAACAGCAAACACCTCTGCCACAGGTACAACCCAGGTAGGCAGTTTTAGGCCCACTTCTGTTGGGGGGGAAGCCCCATTTTGACTCAGTGGGGTATAAATGTGCCCAGAGGACCAGCTATCTGGATCACCATAGCAGAGATGGAGAGAGCGGAAAATGTTTTAAGCAGGAGAACAACTCCACTTGAGCCAGCCCTCAAGGAAATCTGGGCAAAGCACTCAAATAAAGTTTGGGTCTGTGTTCCTCTCTGGCGGTGGCTCCCTGGGGAGCTTAAACTGAGCATCAACAGGGTCCACTTTCAGGCGCTTTGTTACCTGCAATGGACTTAAAAACACCCGTTGTCTGTGCTCAAGAGATCAGCAACCACTGGGTGCCCCCCCCCGAAAAAAACCTCTGTCTTCTTTCTTTCCACTCAGCCTCATAAGGAGCAAAGTCCTTTTGCAGAGTTTGGAAACCTTCCTCTTTAAAAAAATAAAACCCAACTCCTAGAATCTCCATCCAGCATTCTGCGAGGTGTAACACAATTTTTTAAAAATAAAAATAAATAAGGAGAGCGACGTTTCCACCCCCTGGCTTCTTTGGAACCTCGAAAGAAGGTTTAGGTTCTCACCTGGCTCCCCTTAGGTCTGTTGCCCCCCCCCTCACCTGGGCGCTCAGTCGCATGGGGTTGCTTTCTTTTCTTTCCCTGGCTTTTCGCCCCCTTTCTTTTTCGCTTTTTTGGTGTTTGGGCTCTTCCTCCCCCCCTGTATCCAGGCACTCTATCCACCAAATCTAGTTCCTTAAATCTGTTCTTCACTTCCACTATGTGTTCCTAAGGGATTTGGTTTAGATCAGTGGTTCTTAACCTTTTGGAAAGAAACGCCCCCTTGAGCCATTGAGGAAGTTATCATCGCCCCCCTCCTCACGGTGATGATATCTTATTTATTTATTTATTTATTTATTTATTTATTTATTTATTTATTTATTTATTTAAGACACCTACATCCAATGACCCCTGAAAACAAAATTCAATTGCAAGAAAATGAAATGCCCCCAAAAAGTAACATTTAATGATTTAGTTGCAAGGGAATTTTAAGACGAAAAAAGAAATATAAAAAGGGTATAAAAACAAACTGCAATGCAGGAATTAAACATTTCAAGATGAAAACTCTGAAACTAAATTAAGATTGGAGGAAAATATATATTCATGCACACTGTAGAAAGGCTGCAGCCATCTTCACAGGTGTGGCTTGCTCCAGTGCCCCCCCCTCCCCCCCCCCCTCCTCCCAGCCCCAGGCCCCCTCCCCGCCTCGCACCAGCTGCTTTTTATTTTATTTTTTTTATTTTTCTCCGCGCAGCATCCTGGGACTTGTAGTTGGCCACCTGCCTGCCACTCTGGGCAGGGCAGCCGGGCACGGACTCCAGCTCCCGGCATGCGCAAGGAGCGAGGATGCTGCGGCTCGCCTCCAGCTCCCCCCCCCTCCCAAAGGGCCGGCGGGGGTGGTGGTGATGCGCTGCGTGGGAGGCGAGCTGCCTTTCCCCAGGTTTGGTACCCCGCCGCATCCCGCCCCCTCGCCATCACCTGGCGCATGGCTTTGCAGCGGGGAGGACGACCTGGAGAGCGGGTTCAGAGGCGAGGCCATCAGGAGAGAGATCAGGGCCAGATCCTTTGGGATCGCTGGGACCCACTCGCTTCCCACTCTTTGCAAACTCAGGCCTCTGCAGGAGCCCCAGAGGTTGGGGGCCCATGGCCAGCGGAAAGGGCTAGAAGGCCACCAAAGCTCTCCATCTGTTCTCTCTGCTTCCTTCCTTCCTTCCCTCCCTCCCTTTGGCCTTTGCTCCCTGCTCTCTATTTTTAGGGACATTTCTGCACATCAGCAGCTAACGGGAGCTCCAGCAGCAGTTGCGTTCACACACAGACACCCCACAAACATCCAGCAGCCCAGCCTGGAAGAAGAACGGCTGTGCCCCCCCCACCTCCCTGCCGCCTGAGGCGTCTTCTGTTCCATTATGCAAGATTCAGAGAGCTTGGGAAATCCGGAGAATCGGGTGAGGATGATGTCCCCGCAGGGTTAGACAAGGACAACTCAGATCACACTTTCGAACACCCTTTACGGTGTATTTCTTACATTACTTCCCCATTAGCGCACAGTGAGCCGTCCGCTATTCTGGGCAGTGAACACCGTCATCATATAACATCCAGAAGAGAAATGAAAACCAGCTTGTGATTCTTGAGCAGCTGCTCCACTCGCCGCCAGGGTGGGAAGGTTTGACGCAGGTGATGGTTTCGAAGGCTGGAGTGGTGGTAAAAACCCTGCCAATAAAACAGCATGGCTACAAACCTTTTTTTTTAAATGCACAAGGACCTTCACGAATAAAATCTCTTGCAAAAGGCTTGTGAAAATGCTAGAGGTTAGGAAAAAGGAATCTTTTCTGGGCTACGCCCAGGTATACCCCTGGTATGTTGGGGGCAGCTGCTGCCCACCTGTGTATTCCAGCAGGAGTTTCCTGCTGCATCTTATATGAACCCCCCCACACACACACACACAACTGGAATGTTTTTTCCATCCTGGGACTTTTGAATGGCACTAGGCAGTCTCCTTAAATTTCCCACATTGCACCTGACACTCCAGACTGCAAGGGAATTGTGAGGAATAGAAGACTCAATACAGTATCTTGGTGCTGCTCCTTCCTGTATCAAGGGAGCCTGGAGGAGTCCTCAGGAGGGCTCCCGGCCGACAGGCGTTTCGAGGGAGGGAAGGCCATTTGGAACCGTGCCACCACCCAAAAGGAGGAGATTCAGCCTGGATTCTTCTGCCCGTGAATCTTTCCCATGGAGCAGGAACTGACTGTTTATACTGGCTCCCTTGAACCAAACTGCAGTATCCCTGAGCATCACAGATGCAGGGATGGCCCAATACTGTATATTTTGCTACCTGAGGCCAGCCCGTAATTTCACACAGAGAAGCTGATTGGACTACCAGTTGAACAAGTGGCAAAAAGATAACATCCTCCACCGTACCAAATACAGTGAGACCCCCGTATCCATGGGATCAGTATCCACAGTTTCACTTATCCATGGTCAGAAAATATTAAAAATATTAAAATAATTAAAAAACCCTATTTTCACATGTATTACCAGAATTGGACACCGTATGGAGCCACAGACTGTACTATGGATATTTGTTATTGCCCCCCCCTCTCTGTGTGTGTGTATACACTCTATACAGTGGTGCCTCGCATAGCGATTCTCTCTCTCTCTCTCTTTGTGTATACACTCTATACAGTGGTGCCTTGCATAGCGATCGCTTCGTTTTATGACGAAATCGCTTTGCAACACATTTTTTGCGATCGCAATGTTCCCTATGGGGGAATTTTGCTTTGCGATGATCGCAGGGAAGCGATCATTGCAAAGCCCCCATTTTCGGCCTGCTGATTGGCGGTTTCAAAATGGCCACTGGGTAAACAAAATGGCCACCTGCTGTGTTTAGGGATGGATTCCTCGCTTACCAGGCAGCGGAAATGGCCGTGCTATGGAGGATCTTCGCTGAACGATGAGTTTTAATCCCATAGGAACGCATTGAAGGGGTTTCGATGCGTTTCTATGGGCTTTTTAATATTGCATAGCGACGTTTTCATTCTGCAGTGATTTTTTTGGAACGAATTAACGTCGCTATGCAAGGCACCACTGTACACTCTCTATATACACTCTACACACACACACACACACACACTGTGCACTCTATACACACACACACACACACACACACACACACAATGGTAATATTGTGTTTGTGTATGTGTAATGTTTGCTATTATCCATTGTTTTCAGCATCCATGGGGGTGCTTAGAACCTACAGTATCCCCAGCAGATATGGGGTTCCTACTGTATGGCCTAATGGCAGAACCAGAACCTACAAATTCTTTTAAAAAAGGAACTTGTCACATCACTCTTCAGGCAGCCAGGCTATCACTGCTACCTGGGTTGCAAAAAGGGATTCGTTTCTTCACACATTATTAAGAGGCTGAAATGCTAGATTCTTACCAAAAGGGCAGAAAAACAGAAAAATACTCTTTGGTTCCATCCAGTGGCCAATTGTGATATACATCTTGGAAATATTTCCAAAAATACAGAATGCAAAACAATACAGTTGGATTGTATTAATTTAACTTTTTGTTAGTTTGCTCTTCGAAAATTATAGTTTATTTAATGGTGTTTTAATAGTATAATCTTTTTTAATCTGTCTTTTTTACATTCGTGTTATGAGCTGGTCATACAAGGAAGAAAGGCATGATATACATTAAATGCATACTATAAATGCACACATAACATAAAGTTACTTGTAACTAGTTG